TGAATCATGCTGTTTATAATTAAACAATATACACATATGCCTAATTAAAAATTCTTTAAAAATAAAAAAGTCTGTCATAAATGAAAAAGGTTCAAATAAATAGTTTTTTGATATTTAATAATGTCATTCAAATTTCAATTTTTGGAAATTAATATCTGCATTTAATTAAAGGCAGATACATATTATAGCCAACAAATTTTTTAATTTAAAGCCTCGGCGTCTAGGGCCATTGGCTGCAACAGTTTTACAAGGTTTACAATGTTTATATTATGTCTTAAAGTAAGTACATTAATGTTAGTTATTACTAATTGCAAGTTACAAAAGATTTATTAGATTTATCTTAATTATAAAGGAAATTATGTTATATATGTTTTCTGAATGAACAACTTCAGAGAGAATATTTGGTACCTACTTCACATCTTATTACTTATTAGCTATTAATTTGTTATCAACCTAACAACTTATAATTTAACTTACCTCGAATGAGATTCTGCAAATAACGGATGTGGAGAAGTGTTGTTCCAACAACTTAGAGTTCGGTAGAACGACTTGGTACCCGTGCTGAAGTACATAAATTTGATCATTGAATGGGTGAAAAACAATGTAGTTACCACGCCAGCAGCTAGCTGATCCGAATCGTTGGATTTAGTGACCATAAATATCACAATAAATATGTACTGCGAATATATTATTATTGTGGTGATCCAGCTATAAATCTTTCGGAACAACACGGAAAATCCAGAATAATCGTCATAGTACTCGGATATGAATAGGCCCGACATTTGTATTAATCGAATATTTGGCCATAGATCTTTTATAAGTCCGTCTTTCTTATAACCCATGACTGAAAGACCTAAACAAATTGTTTAACAATTATTAAAATCATATTTWAAAAAATACGACATTTTATTCTTGACCCATGTGTTCAATTCTTTCATCTTTGGATAATATTATGTAGGTTTCTTAGATTTAAAATGAATAATTGTCTAGTGGACAATAGCTGTCGTTTCATTTCGTATAGGTTTAATAATTTTAACCACAAAAACTTGCATTTTGTAATTTAAAAAAATGTGCTGTTTAATAATTATAAGTAAATGCGAATGTATTTTAAATTATAATATTTTTAACAATAACTCTTTTTTTCAGTATCTAAGCACTACACGTAATCTTATGATATGTATTCCTGTAAGCTTTAGCAAACGATTTAATTAACTGCGTATATGTAAATATATATAATATAGACTAGGTACCTATAATTGCTTAAATTTATAGAAAGATAAGTTATAAAATTAAGCTGAAAGATAAAATAATTCTTCTATGCCTCACCAATTTTTTATTTAATGTATATGAGTATTTAAATCCATTTATAATTGCTACTAAATAACATTACCTTTTATTTATAGCATTTCATATTATAGATATTTTAAAATACTATTTATGAATTCCATAATGATGTAATGTCCATTTATGCAATAAATACATACGTTTTATGTRGACTCTGGGGCACTATGCAATATCAGAATAAACGAAGAAGCAAAAAAGTAGCCCGAAATACTAATAACCCCAACTTCTTAACTCTTTCACTTATGTCTCCAGTTGATATAATCAATAATGTTGACAAATATTGCATATAATTATGGGACTCAGATTGGCGTCCAGTTACCGAAAACAAATTAAGGGAAATCAAGCATTCAGTCGAGACTTGCCCAAAACTGAAAACTCAACTATTCAAATCGAAAAGAAGAAGTAATCATAAAACGACTTAGAATTGGCCACACGAGAGTTACTCGTGGATACCTAATGGAAAAAACCAAACCTCCTACATGTCACTCTTGAAATTCTTTCATTACAGTCTAACACATAATCTGATCATCATCTACTGCCAAATCTTCATGGAGACTAGAAAAGAATGCGAAATACCAGACAATCTATATGAAGCTATATGACCCTATGCTGACACAGAAAAAATAATTACATTTAAAAAAAATGATGTAATGTTTTTAATTAAATAAAAGGGACTATTTTATACTAATGTAATTAATTTTAATAACTTATAGGTAAAAATTATTGTTTGATAATTTATAACATAATACATAGTATAAATTTGTACACAAATATGAAATAAGGTACAACAAATTAGATCAATAAAATTATACTTTCTATTCATTTTTATTTTTATCCACTGCAGCATAATCATACAATTTCTACTTGTCTTATTAAATTCCTAATATTGTAGGATACATATTACATTGCAATTAATGAATTAAATATGGTCTACAATATAATATCTAACATTATACGCAATGACTTAATTAGTTAGTACCTATTTTCAGATTATATTTTATTGAATGTTGATATTACGTAACTTATTGTTCAATGACATAGCTTTAATTTTTAATTTATGAATAGTAGGTAATTAGGTTTTTTTGCAAAACTTTATTGTTTATATTAAAAATAAATCATTTTTATTTATGTTTCAATTTACCTATTATTTTACGTGACCTATGTTATACAATTCATTATACGTAGGTATGACCAAGTAACAGATTTTATAAATCACCCTGTAATCTGTATACATGTTGTATATATCTTTAAATAAGCGCAATAAATCAACCACCCAATGTACGCATAATAGCTGTGTAGCGTGTAGGCGTAATAAAAATAAGATTATCATTCTGCAAATGTCATATATATAACATTTATTTACCTAAAATGTATATGATATTATAAAGCTATAGACTATAGAATTA